GAGAGAGGGTTGGTTACCACAAACTTCTATTCTTTTGAATCTAGACTCCTCAGTCCTTAGACCACCCATCTCATCTCACCACATACCTCCTTCCCTCATCACCTCCTAATCTCAACCCTGCTCTCATTAGCCATCCTCAGCCAAATTTGTTTCAACCTAATTTTTTTCTCTCCTTTAACTTTTTTTTTTCCATAAATTTTTTCATCCTTTTGCTTATTATATTTACATTCATTTATTTTTTAAAACTCTTCTTTTTTTTTTTAAAACCCATTTTTTATATTTAACCAAGTTTTATTTTAACACCAACTTTATTTTTAAAACCAATTATTTTTATAAACACCATTTTTTACCACTACAACCCATCATCTAAGCACTTTTGTGAAGAAAAAGTTTTACAAGACTCGATTTATGTCTTCACGACAGAATTTACTATTGGATATTTATTCAAGCTTCGATCGTCACGATGGATTACTTGTTGCTGATTATAGTGGAATAATTTTTATAATTCTTACCATGAGGATTGACCTTTAATCAAGGTCTTTCGACCAACATTATTTGGATCGGGGTCATAGGACCAGTTATCCTCATACTACAGCCAAACATCTTATTCCTCTTCACAAAGTTGGCACCACAGTTGCGTCTGATCAATAAAATTGTTTTGCAATCTTCACTCTATGAATATCTTTTGTGACTAGTCACTCTTGATCTTTGGTTGACGAACCATGTGTCTTCAGCAAGTGGAATTTATTTATTGAAGCTTCTTAGGGAGTTTCGGCACCATAGTTTGGGTACATCAACATTTCACAGCAGAGTAGTGATTATTCACGCATTGTTCTTATTTGTTACTATGGAACTTCTTTGAGTAGTTTTCAGCAACAGAATTAACCAACTACTTATGAGCAGAGAGAATTTATTTTACTCTTATGCTCTTGTTTTATCGAGACCCTTCATACATCTAGGGAGAACATGTGAATCTCTTCATATTTGGCACTCTCTATCCTGATTGACTTATTTATTTTTGAAATTATGGCATTGGTTATCAAAAATAGGGAGACAATATTATTTAAACCTGTTTATTATTCAAACTTTATCACAAGATGATAGTTTTGATTGATGTTTGAAGTCCGATCCTTTGGGGAATCACTGCAACTTCTATTCTTGGATCTAGACTTGTTTATTATTCAAACTCTATCATAGGATGTTTTAATGTTTTTAGCAGGTTATTCTTTTGAAGAATTTTGGGTGCATTATGAGTCGAGTACCAGAGATGTTTCAGACTTTTGAAGCTGGAATTTGACTTGATTATGAGACGTTCAGTTCAAGAGTTATTGGAACACTTTTTTGAAGTTGATCAACTTGGTTCACTGATCATATATGAAGACTGGAATCTCACTCTTCAACACTAGATATGATGGACTTCATTGCTTAGAAGACTTTGACGAAAAAAATTTCATCGCCTACTTTCAGACATCATAGACATGTTAGAGTTTCAGACATTTCAACATTTGGTTCTCATTATGTATCATTTTATCATCGCACTTGTTAAGTTGTTACTATGTATTTTAGCCTTTTATCATTGTATTTGTATCCCTCATTATTTGCGAGCCTTTAGGGTGAGATTGTTGGAGTATGAAAATGCTCTATAAATTATGAGTAATAACTTAGATTATTTTATTACTATTTATTTTATTGTAAGTTATCTCTCTCTTTAAATAGAGATGGATGGCCATTTTATTTCAGGTGCACCAAATATGTACTATTTTATTCAGAGAGAGAGAGAGAGAGAGAGAGAGAGAGAAACTCTCGGTTGGGATCTCTCCCACCGAGGTGCTCTTTGTTATTCATATTGTAACCTGTCTTTCTATTATAATCATTTGACTACTCATCTTATGTTCTTCATTTATATTTTTTATAATCGTTAAATATCAAGATCATTTTATCCGCACCTACTTGATCGTACAAATGGGCTTCTACAGTATAATATTCTTTTACCAAAATTAATTTTGAGACCAAAAGCCAAGAATAAGCATTGAAGAATACAAACTATATGGCTTGCATTTTCCTAGCCCTAAGGAGTAAGAAGAACCACGTCATTCGCATACATAAGATGTGATATCTCAATGCCACTAATGGAAATCCCCATGAACATGTTAGCCAACTGAGCCCTAATTAGGGGAACATGTAATCCCTCCATGGCGAAAATAAATAGAAATGGAGAAACTGGATCCCCCAATCTCAAACCTCTTAGAATTTATAATTCCTATGCTGGCGACTTGTTAAACAAGACAAAAGCCTTATTAGAAAAAAGCAAATTTGAAATCCAACCACACCATCTCAAACTGAACCCAATAAGCAATTTTGAAATATGTGTTTTAATTAATAATTTTAAATCTACCATTAAAATGAAATCTTTACTAAAACATTTAACCATCCAGGATTCATATTATCCTTTGAAAAGTCATACAATTATTTTTGTGGGGTTTCCTTTCCCTCACATTCCTATTCTTATTATTTTCCAGTATTCATTTACTGGACCAGTTGGCTCTTCCAAGCATCTGCAATATGTACAACTTTTCCGTTCTCCTTGCACTTGAAATCTTCACAGCTACCAAGATGGTGTAGTCCACGCTTATCATACAAGGGAAATCCTCCCAAGTATCTTTTTTGGGGAACAACCATTGGAGGCTTCCTTTCCTCCATTCTCTTGTACACGGGTCAACTTGGTTCTTCCTTGTTGATTTTTCTCCATTTTCTTCCAAATTCTCTGAACTTAATCATGCCATATAGGACTTTGGTTTACCTAAATTGGAATGTTAGCTGCCTAGTTTCGTCGAACTTTTGGGGCTTGTATGCTTGTATCTGCTTCCTGACTTAAGGTGCCAGTCCTTGGAGATATGCACCGATTTTCTTTGCTCTCTAAGCTAATTTGTTCTAAGCATACCTTGGATAGGTTTTCAAAGCATATGGTTTAGAAAGGTAGACTGGAATTTCTAGTGCTTAATTGACTAAATTCGTTTTCAACTCGGGCCAAATCTCCTATAGAACAAAATTCTCTTATCATTTTACCTTTTCAACTATTCCCAAGAGATTGCGTAAGTTGTATCTACTCCTAAGGCCTTTACTTGGATACTACACCATATGAGGGCTTTCTGCATGGAGTGCGAGTTGTAAATTTCACCCTAACCTCATTATTACACCTAATCTCTATTCCATAGATCCAGTTGATTAGGCAATTTACTCCTTCATCTCCATAGAAGGATCCAGACTTACTACATAGAAAATCCTGTTAAGCTTGACTATTTTCCTTGTTGTTTCCTTCTCCATGGTCAACTCTGAGATTCTCTAATGCATCAGAGACTTCATCCTGAATCATGGATTGGATGGTGGTTGTGTTTAACAAGGTTAACGTAGCAGGGTTGGTTTCCTAAAACAACTGACGAGATGATTATTGGCTTTTACCTAATTGGTCAATTTTATTCCCTGTTTGCATGGTACTTGTAGTTTCTCTCTTAGCAATCTTTCTTAATTATTGCTTTTATCATTATTTTCTAATTTGGAATTTTGGATTTTTATTGTTGATATAACATCTTTTGGATGCCTTTCTTACAACCTTCTGATAATAGCATGTTATTTTTGTTTCTCTAGCAACTTACTGTTGCTTTCCTAGAAACTTAACGATTATAGCATGTTGTTCTTGCTTCCCTAGCAACTTACCATTGTTTTCCTAACAACTTGCTGATCATAGCATGCTGTTGTTGCCTTCCTAGCAACTTCATGTTGTTTCCTTAACAACTTACTGATCATTGCATGCTACCGTTCTTTGCTAGCATCTTCCTATTTTTCGCTAACAACTTACGGATCATAGCATGATACCGTTCTTTACTATCAACTTCATGTTGTTTACCTAAAAACATATTGATTATATCATGTTGTTTTTTACTTCGTAGCCACTTACCATTGATTTCTTACTTACTGATCATCCTAAAGGAGTTCCTTTTTTCTTGCCTTAAATTTTGGCTCCAAAAGGATTTTATTATTTTAGGGAATCCAGAGGGTCAAAATTTTTATATTGAAAAAAAATATTGGTTGTGCACGTCAGGCACATGATCAGTGTGTCGCGTACAGAAGACAAATCAACATTAAAGTCGGTTTTGGCTTCATTCGAACATTCTTCTGTTTTCATCTGCTTTGTCGCTATCGGGGTCCAAATGCATGACACACACATGGCGCGCCTACTTCCTTTCATCAAATTATTCACTTAATTTGATCAATCTACTAGTAGGTAATCTCCATGCTAAACCCTTACCCAAAACGTGGCCTAAATTTCAAATTTTTACAATTGATGATTAATATAGCATCATATACAACTGATTTTACTTCGTATATACTTAATTTTGGGTTTAATTCATCTATTAATTCTCATTTTGAGTTATAATGTTTTGAATATTTTGAACTGAAATCAAAATTTAATGTTGTTTTGGAAGAAATGAGAAGCATATAGAAGTTCTAGAGGACTAACCGAACATCCCTAATTGATTTAAAGGTTGAAAATTGGATGAAAGAGCAGGTTACGATGCCTGCTATTTTTCGTATTCTTAAGGTGCAACGCACAGATGCGTTCTGCGGCGTGCACTTGCATGCAACGCGTATCTAGCGCATCTACCATATCTTAATCCCATTTTCATTTTAAGTAATTATAATTTAATTATAACAATTTTCATGGCTTATTTTACTATAGATATGTTGATGCGAGGTCGATAGGCTGCAGGTCAATTACCTCCTAACTGGTAAACGCATCCTTTCTTACAGTTCCTTGATGACCTTCCTAATCAGGATACTTTCATTTCTCTCCTCATTTCCCTTTTATCCAAAAAGTTCACCATTCTCTAGGCTCTTTCTGGGAATGTGGCAGATAGCGTTGGCTTGTATGCTTAGCTAGCACGATTCCTCACCCGAACACTTCGGGATGATAGCAGTCTCGACCTTTTCGTCTGCCACAAATGTTGGTGGGTTATTGGGATCCAAGAGGTGATCTACCAGGAGCTCTGTTGTGGGTTCTTTTTGAAAGCCAGCTTCAAAAAGGAGTCGAGGATCTGGGCTGTTTGATCAGTGTTTTATTTTCACCTGGGAGGCGTATATGGATTTGCATTGTTGAGGAGACTCTGAGTGGTCATTTTTATGCATTTTTAGATTATTGTATCACTACTCCTACCCAGAAGTATGACTTTATGAAGGTATAGGCTCGTGCTCGGGGGACCTATGTTTCCCGGGTGACCAAGGAGAGTGTCTTTTGTTCTCCTCTCTATCGGTTGCTTTAGAGACTGGTCTCATCCACCATTTGTCACAGACAGGAGTGTGACAAGGTTCCTCTTTGTGAACTTTTTTACATGTGTGCCCCACTTGATGGAGGTTCGTCTTCATTGTCCTTTCGCCCTTGCTATTTACATGTCTGGTATGGCTCTAGAAACCACATCCTTAAACAGGAGTTGTAGGGGTCATTGGGTTCTAGGTTAGCCCTATCCTATGGGGTTGACACTAGGGGGATGCTTCCTATGCCTATCCGGGAGCTAAGTACTACAACTTTCGGAAAGATACATGTTTTCACTAAGGAGTCGGGGCACCCTTGGAGGGTACCAAAGGATGACATCATCGAACTAACTCCGCAGGTGAAACTGGAGGTTGAGCCTACCTTTGTCAGGCGTCAGAGACCCAAGAATGTGGATCCTGATCATCCATAGCCATATGTTAGAGATGTGATGCAGAGTCTCACCGCTGCACGGGAGGAGCGACAATGAATTATGGATTATCTTGTCACGATGATGCGCCATCTGGGGATGGACCATCCATACTTTCCTAGTGTGGATCCCATTGTTCCTCTTCCGTCTCGTAGACACACCACGAATGTGTTGGGTTTTGAGCACTCTAACACTCCTAAGTGTACATGCAACCCTAAATACCTTAGATATATGTTTTCTCTATTATACATGCAAATATGAACTTTCCAAGGTATTCATCCTAACTAGCATATTAATAGTGATTCATGTGAATATATCAAGTTAGAATTACATACCTCTTTGATGTAGAATGACTTCATGAAGCTTGAGTGCCTAGTGCCCCAAGTGTGACACATCAAATGGTTCACACAACACCAAATACACTTGGATAGATTAAAGAGAAATCCACACTTCATAAAAATCGGCTAGCCCTTGCACTCACACACAGTCGCCGATTTTGTCAACAATAAGATTCTTATATAGTTAGTGACTATTAGGGTAAACCCTAATTTTCATGGCGTTCCATTTCCTTGGATCCATGGGTTCAAATATACCATGGAGCATCTTATGGGTTTTAGCCCAACTTGGCAATCCATGAAGCATTAGCCCACTATACACGTATGGATGATTTACACAATCAACCTATATATTTAATTAGTCTTCTTTTGATCACTTAATTAATCCTAGATTAATTATTGCTCAAGAATAATTAAATAATCTTATTAATATATTAGAACTTATAATATATTAACAAACCTTAAGTGTTATTTCTCTCATTATAGTCTATCCAAATGCATGATGCCATGCAACCCAAATGGACCATGCCAGGTCGGGTCAAGTCTTACCGATTATAGTTATGGACTTAGACATTAATCCAACAGTCTCCCACATGGATAAGTCTAAAACTATTATTGCAAGTATGACTTCAAGAACCGACTGGAAATCATAGCTTTCAAAAGCTTCTGTCGAACTTTGACCTTGCCGATGATCTCTGATCTTTGTCAACGACTTGTCCATTAGATAAGGGATCATATATTCCTCCATTCTAGATATCATATTGACTGAGACATGGATTATAATCATTCTCTCTGTCCAATTGTTGTTTCTCAATTTCCAATTTATGAAGACTGACTAATTTGAAAAATGAAATCAGTTCAGACCCAGCCGAGCACTTACATTTGTCATCACCAAATCATCGAGGGGCCCACAGATATCGATTTTATCTCGAAGGTAAAAGGAATGGATAAACTTCGACTCATATGGCTTGTTCTATTACTTGTTGAATCATACACAAAGGCACGTTCTATAACATCAAGTTACCAATGTGTTTTCGTGCAATCAATGTATAACCAACTCATAGTAACAACTCATATCTCTAGGTTTGAAGAATCTAAGATATTATCATCTCATGATCACTCGTGATAAAATCCATGAAGTGATTCCAATGAGCGTGGGTTGAATCCAATACTCAGAACTTATGAGCACTCATGAGTGTTGTAGCACCACTTTGTCTAACAACTTAGACCCCTACAAGCCAACTCAAGACAGTCTTGATTCATATCTACTTCCAACATATGACTGACTGTGGATGGTTTGAATAACTTAGTCAATCAGGAAGAACGAACTAGTTATTCTGGAAGTCAAAACATGCAAAATGAAACACAAGATTAATTGAATCCAATATGGTCTCAGAACTTATGAATATAAATAAAACACCTTTTATTTATCACCATATGATTACAAATTATTCATTGCATACTGTTTCAGCTATCAACTTTATTCTTGAATTAAAACAATAGCTGTACCATGCTCCAAGCATGTACACTATGTTTTCTAAACATTAGTCACGCCACACACCAAGTATGCATACTATGTTTGTCTATGATCTTTACTTTGCGAAATAGACCAATTGAACATAACTCCAATGATTCTGATTTCACAGTCCCAAATCCTCACTGCAAATGCAATAATTTCAAATTCATGTCATTTACTGAAATTTGTTAGGTTCTAAACTTATATACATTGATCCTCTTGTAATGATTATGTAAAAAGTCACAAAGACTTGACAACAACATTAAAGAGCATTCCAAAGGAGATCAACTACTTGGAAACATCCTTCTTGCATTAAGCTGCCTAATCTTACACAAATTTATTGAACAACTTCCAACTATGGGATCATTTCCATGTTACCCTTTTGACTATCACTTCTAAACAAGAGTTGCCGTTTTTCAGAATATGTCAATGTGTTCCTTCCAACAATTAACATTATACTTCCAACTTTCCTTGAAAAATTAATCTTTGGTAAACCTTAGATTGTCCTAAACAATTGCTTAATCCTTTTAGCAATATCCAACTCTAGACCTTTTCCCTTCTTAATGCCCCAGGCATTTGGAAAATTTTAGAAAGGATGAATATTATAGGATGAATATTATAGCACATGCAATCAATCCTATATCCGAAACATATGGGACACGATTCATGATGTCTCACATAAAGACTAAACCAATCTTTTTCTATAATATTTCCATTTCAATTTGCCAAGTTCTCATAAGTCAGATTATGAAAAGGGATGTCGTATTCATAATCGAATTTTAGAACACAAATAATGGAACCATATATAGAATTTTCTTTTGTTGAGCCATTCCACCATAACATTCATATATATACTTGACTAAATATGATTAACACCTCAATCTAAGCTTTTAGATTTGAGATGAAGTATGATTCCTCTCCCTTAATTATAGAAAAACAACTTTTCAACCCCTGAACTTTTGTTTTCCTTTAATCAACATTGCTAACTTGAAATACTAATCATAATTATCATGTACCCACTATCATGATGATTATTAGCATAACACTTATGCTCCCACTAGCTTTGACATGTACTCAGAAAAACAATTGTACTTCTAGAAATCAATACTTTATTGACTTTCTTACCAAAGTTCAGATTTCTGATACTAGATTGCTTTGATAAAACTTTATCAATATCATACACCTTATCTTAGATAGCTCACAGGTGTGTCTAAACAAATTTAAGAACTATGAAAAGGGATGTCGTAATCATAGTCTCAATTGTTTAGACCTTTGCTATCTGCTTCAAATCTACTTGGTGGAAGTGTTTCCACACCATCATTTTCATGAATCGGAGAGTAACCTTATGAACCTTCAATTTTATTGTACATGTGTTCATTTCCATGTGAATTTTTTGTCAAAACCATAATCACAAGACAAGATTAGTGACAATTTGAAATTCATATGGACTGAACTTGTGTAATCTTAAATTCTTGCCACCTGGCAGCTCAAGGGCCTGCCATTGCTTCCAAGTTGATATGCAACCAGTTGAGAATTCTAAGAACTCTTATGCAAAGCCATCTTTAACTAGAATGGGCACAAAAATAGAAATATGTCAACATGATAGGTTATAAACCTCAAGTCGTGTGCTAGTATAGAACTTCCGGTTCTATTCTTGATTAGATCTTGAGACTTTCAAGACCTTTAAGACTCCCACTGTCCTCTTGACATATAAGACTTTCTTGTTAGATAATCAAGAGATAGTGTGGATTCTAATCAAGATAAACACTTCACACAGTTGGCCTTAGTTGGTCTTTGTTTTATCCAAAACATCACGACTTACCAATTTCAAATGTACAAGAGTAGAAAACTTTTACTCTAGCATTTGACAAGTGTTTTAAACCTTCTTTAAGACATGTCACTGAAGTTACAATTTTAAAGTATAACTCTAAGAATTGTTTTTGGAACGAAGTATGAATCATCTTCTTAACTTAACCACTTCAACAATTCATAGCTCCTCTTCTTAACTATCAGAATCCACTTATAGGATGAATTGTGATAAGGTCTCAAAAATCATTAAGATGGTCTTAAAACATGATACTAAAGTACTCTCCCATGTTTTCAGATTTGAGAAACTTTTATCTTTCTACCTAATTTGATTCTTCTTATTCGCTATAGTTTGGAACCTTTTCCAATGTCTCAGAATTACACTTAAGCTTGTAAGTATAACCATATTTACTGAGCTATAGTAATTATCACGAATACTCTTATTGATCTTTTGTGGTGGACTTAACTAGTACACAAGAATGTGTACTTGATCCCTTAGTCCTTTACTTGACTCACACATCCATGTGAACATCCTATACAACTTGCATGATTACAAGTTTCTATCCAACTAAAACTTGGTTGATGAGAGTCTTTCCTTATTTGGTAAATTTAGACATTACCACAAATGAAAGAATCAAATTCACTTTCCAATATTGCTATCAGTGGAATCTTATAAGCAACAATTTTCCACAAATGCCATTGTAAGGACACATAAAATAATGAAAATCAAAAGATTTTCCTTTTATTGTAAAACTTTACCGAAAAAACTTATCCTTACAATCCATATGAAAACTTGTGGTTATCTGTTCCTATGCAATATATATCATAACTCTTATGTAATAGCCCAAAAATTCTGATCACCCAACCATGCAGGTGAAATCCATCTTCACGATCAGAATCTGCATATACTTCTTTTAAGTTTCTACACTTTTCCTTTGATTCTTAACCACCAACATGTGACCCAGTCACATCATGTAATAAGAATCTCCAAGTAGGAACTTAATAGAGTTAGACAATGGACTTTACCTGAAGTAGAGTCAACCTTATTGACTTTAACATCCTTAGGTAAATTTGGCAGCTTCGCAACTAATGCCCCTTTTTTGGAAATTGACCCTTGATAATTAGACTATCTCAGACTTAGCCTCTCTCTTTCCTAGTTGGTCAACCGAGTTGACTACGGCCGATCCCTTTCCATTGGGAAGAGAGAGCTTTACTGGATATCCAATGTCATCATTGTCAATGTCCATAAAGTTTTAGGAAGTTGATCTTAGCAAATATATAAGATCATTAAGGGTCTTGTCATAGTCTGTTTCATAGGAGTCCCAAAGGAACTCACTATGTGACTT